GAATGTGGTCTGCCAGAATTCAAAATGTAAAACTGAAGTTTTCATTTGAATTTCAGCTTTGAAATGCAAAATATACCAATGAAGAATAAAACAAAAAATAAAACAAAAAAAATTCATTGTGTTCCAAGTTTTTTTAAACCGTACGAAAAGAGTAGCTATTGCACTAGAATATCACATCCAGAGCAGAAGAAAGCAGCAAATCCTTTCAACTCAATTCTAAAACTTTTGAAATCCTATCACAAAACATAAAACTGTATGTGTATTCTCTTCCATTGCTTCCTAGCCCCCACAAGAGTTTCTCAGTTTCCCTAATAAAATGTTTGATGTACATGTAGTTTATTAATGCTTGGGCCACAGGCCATTCACATAATAAAATCTTTATTGGTTATGAAAAAGGTAAGTATTATTTACTGACAAAACAAGAAATGCCAAAAATTTATGGACTTGAAATATCAAATATTCACACAGCTTCAAGCAGGGACCCACAAATTTGGCCTGGATTTGGTTGCCAGCTAGTTTCTAGAAGCCCATAATGCTTGATTTTCTCAAACATCCCTCTCAAAACAAAACATCCCTTTGGTACTTCCTGCCCAGAAAAGGGGTTTTACTGGGGTAGGGAATAGTGTGTTTGCGTAGCAATCCATGATACTAATCCCACCAACAAAAACAAAGGCGCTCTCTACATGTTTGTTTTGCCAACTTTAAAAAACTGTTTCCTCTGCTAAACACCCCCCACCCCAATAAAGTGCTCACTGGCAAATATATTTGTGAATCCTAGGTTTCAAGTTACCTTGTGCAAGCAGGTTCCTTGGGAAACAATATTTTTCATTTTAAAACTGTAAATGAATTCTGGTTGCCAAGAACAAAATGTGAATGACGTTAAAATAATAATTGTCCTGTTCCTCTCAAGCATTTTAATATTAGCCACTCTTGGAGACAAGGAGCTTAGCTAGAGTGACCAAATTTGTCTAACCCAATATGGCATGTTTCCACTTGCCTGTTCTCAGAAGTTTCTAAATCTAGCCAAGGTCTTCAATATGAAGATTTTGAGCTGGCGATAACCCAGCTCTGGAACTCATTCTTGCAGTTTGAAGATACAAATGTTTACAGAAGATTGAAATTCATCAGAATATTTTTATAGCAAACCTAACCGGACCAACCAAAACTGTGGTCAATAGGTACAAGACGTTAGCCAGGGTTGTGTCCCTCAGGAATGTGCCCACAACAAGTGTCGGCAGTCTTTAGCCTGCCAGATGTTGCTGCTCCTCAACTTCCATCAGCAAAGATGACTAATGGCTAGGGATTATGAGAGTTGTAGTTCAGCAACATTTGGAGAGCCAAAAGTTCCCTACTACTGGCATACATGGATGGGGCTTGAGAGCACTCTATTAACAGTGGCTTTGGTCCCTCACAGAGTACGAACTTCAGAACTGGTGCTGGGAGATACCTGCTCAATATTTTCACCTTTGGTGTAAACAAGCAAGCATAGCCAATGTGATGTCATCTAGATTTTGTGGACTACAACTGCCATGAGCCCCAGCCAGCAAGATGAACACTCAGGGGTGATCAGAGTTGTAGTGCACAACAGCCACATAGCACCCTGCTAGTTCCTCCTGGTGCATATTATTATTTCTTAAATTTATTGGTCCTTTTTTCAGCAGGTTAACTCAAAGTGACCTACAACATATATATAGTGCCGCACATAGCTTCAACATCTACATGAAACTGCTGAGAAAGATCACTCAGGGATCTGGAATTGGCAGTCACTAGCACGCAGATAATATGCATCTCTATAGCCATGTTCTGGCATTTGCATCAAAATGGGGAGAGGAGCAAGCAATCCTGCCCATTTGCCCCCAGACATGCTGGCTGCTCTCCAGACCTTTGTACATTTAGTGCCAATGCCTGAAGAGTGTGTTGAACATACTTAGAACCCTCACTGTAAGCCGAAACACTACCTTATCAGGGTTTCTGGTAATAGGGAGGATTTCTAAGCATGTTCAACCGAACTTAAAAACTCTCTTCAGATTGTACTGCTAAATGTGTTAAACATCATTCATAAGTGCCTTGAGTGGCTCATTTGTCAGACATAGAAGGGTGGGGTATAAGTGCCCTAATAAGGAAAGAAAAACAGCAGGTAGACGGTCTACATGCCTGAGAATCTGAAATCTTCTTCCAAGCCCTTTACAAAATACTCATTGTCAGTGGAAAATGCTCCTTAGCTTTATTCAACCCTTTTGCATTGTGCAAAGTTAGAGATGTACACCTGAGGCAGATCAGCTCGTGTTTTTAAATCAACTAGAATACAAACAGATTGGTTTCACTCCCATTCATCCTCGTGAATCATTTAAGTGGATTGCACTGGGTTATTATTAATAGCTAAAGGTATTACACCCAGATGTGGCAAGCCGGGATTCCTTGGGGCATTAAGAAAGGAGGTTCAGTTCAGTTTGTTCTCAACAAGACACCCTATGAGATTTATGTACAACCTCATTAGATAAATCTGCAAGAAAAGCATATTCAAATTAGGGAATGGGGTGGAAAATAAAGACATCTTCTCCAAAGGCTCCTTGAATGGCTTGGAGAAAAGTCTCATGCACAAACGTACATTCTTTTAACACCACTGACATTGAAATGGGTCTACAAGCATACATGCAATGGCTTTTCTACACTTAGCTATCTGGGAACCTCTTAGGACTAAAAAATTGCTTTTTCATCTATGATGCTTGTTGTACTAAAACTGTGCTGTAATGTTTGTTCTCCATCTCTAGGTGTCACCACAACACTCTTTTCTAACAGCCCTTATCAGCAAAATAGAAACAGAAGTCTTTCATACACTTTCTACAGTAGGGATGCATGAGGCTGAATTGCACTTGCTTTACACAACCAAGTAATTTGGAAAGCGAGAACCAATCAACTTACACAACAGAACCCATGGAAAATGAGGACTGCTTCAAAGAACAGTTAAATGACATTTTCCGCTACATAGTTTTCAACACAAATGAACTCCCATGTAAATTACAGGAGAAAAAGGAAGCCCAGATGGTTCCTTATAAAAAGTTGTTAGATGTTGTTAATCAGTTTGAATCAGAGAGGGATGCCAGAAGTTGCTAGTTAGAAGTAGCTATAATTTTGCTACAGTTAAGGAAATTGTCAAGCAGTTGTGTCCCAGATACTATGGTCCACCAAATCAGGAATGTTTGTCTTGCCTTCTCATTAGGAAACCAGGTCTATCAAAGCTCTCCTGGGGCCAGAAGGAGTATAAATCTGTCTTTGTTGCAGTCACTGTAACCATGCCCTTTTATTAACAGAACTGGCATGGTGATGGGGGTGAGATTGATGCTGCAAATGTTTTAGGCAGTATATGGCCAGGACTAGCAAGAAATTTATTCCCATGTTTCTTAGACAATCAAGAGTGAGTTGATCATCTTTCAAACAATTAGAGGTTCCAGTGCCTCACTAATCCACAGACAACTGCTATCAGGCAAGGTAAGCATTGGAACTAAACCAACTTATCATCCTCGTTACATGCATTAAAAGAGAGAGGTACACAGTGTCATTCACAATTATCAGGGCAGAACACTGTTTCTCAAGATATCAAAGAGGTCAAATCCCTAAGCCATTAATGATTGCCATCACCAAACAAGGGTGGGGTGGAGGGATCAGAAGGAAATTCGAATGGTTACCATGTTAAGTATTTCAAAAAGGGAATCATCCTGTCCAGAAAGTATTTAACTCCACTGACAAAATAAAATATATCCAAAGAGTAACAATGACCTAGGATCTGTTTCCCAAGGAAACAACTCTTCTTGAGCTCTTCCACAAGTCACCAAGATGACAGCATGAAAACAAAAATTCCTGTTGTGTTAGGAAAGGGCCTAGAGATAGAAAGCCAGAGACCCTGCAGGGTTGGCTATAATCCAGGCAGGAAGAGTCACAAGTGACTGGAATTTACATCAGCCTTTTAGAGACTGAACAAGTGTTCCAAAAAAATGAGGGGCACATTCAAAATACTAAGTGCTTCAGACCCATTTGTTTACTACCTTGAGACAGACAGTGCTAACAAATATTTGAGAACAATGCTCTGACAAGGACAGTTAAATGCAGTGTAACATTATCCATGACAATACAAAATAACTTTGAAAAATGCTTATCTTCACATCTATTTTTTAAGGAGCACCTTTTCAAGCTTGAGGTCGCCTTGCCAGATCTGAACTGTATGAACTAAAGAGTTTCCCAAAAGACTAAAATAAATTATAAGCTAACACACAGACTTTTGTGAACTGCCAACTTTTCTGGATCTATGTGAAAGGCTAAATTCATAGATTTTCAGACTTAAATGTTTACCAACATTTAAGGTAGTACTCCACAGCTAGCTTCCTATAAAACATTCCTTGGAGAATAATTTGTGAATGAACCACTGTAAACTGATTATGACAAAACTTCCTGCTCTTCACATTATTAAATAGTAGGTTAACTGCATTCTTGAAAAGGTATCCAAATGACTGCTTCCTTCAAACAATCTCTGGGTGAAATGTTTGACAAAACTGTGGGCTACACCCATAGTAGCTTCAAGACATTTAATTACATATGCTGGCAATATCTGTAACCTTATTTCCCTCTTGCTCGCCTGCAGATTAAACTTTTTGCAATGGGCCATCCGCCCCACCCCTCCCATTAGCAAATGATTAAGACAAAGACTGGATAAGGCAACCGAGAGACCTATGCACCAGCATTCCCAAGGAAGGAAAAGTATAGCTTAATGACCTTGTATTTATTCCCTATACCCCCATGCACAATGAGGGCATTTGTAAAAAGTAACAATCATTGTTTATTATTAATATGATTTATTACCTGCTCTTCACCACCAGGGTGGGTCACAACAATTTAAAATTTAACATTAAACACCGTTTAGAACAAATGGCAATTAGAAGCATAGGGTGAGTCCTAAAATACACATCTCAAGTGCCAAAGGCCAGGGCAAAGAGGTGAGTCCTTACCTAGGCTGGTTGGCTTTATCAGTTCGTCCAACAAGTCGTAAAAGGGTAATTTCTGAAGCTTTATGTCTGGATGGACAGGATGGAGTGCTGAGGTAAGGTGAGGCAGTTCCAGTTCATGTTTAGGTCCCATGAGAGAAACAGGGAGCAAAGGTGATGTTGCAGGGTGGCTGTCATAAGCGAGCTGTGGAATGGTAGATGGTGACAAAGTACCAGATATGGAGCTTGAGTGGACGCTGGGGATGGACAAGTCTGCAGGGGTCATGATTTTCTGTGGGAACCGCCGCCTGTACAGTTCTTTGATTTTCATTTGGACAGCAGGACTGCAACCAGATTTGAGCAAATGCAGGGCTTTCGTAAGGAGTTCGTGTTTGCGGCCGTGCTTGTTCCTCCCTGCGTATCCAAGAAGTACTTGCAGCTCAGAAACTCGGAGGCTCATCACCATTTGCTTGAAGACAAACAAAAAGCCAAGATAAGTGTTATTAATATCGCACCATCATTGTACAAGGTGTTTTGCAGAATAAGCAAAGCAAGACAGAACCTTGCCCCAAGGAACTTACAGCATAATTTAGGAGGGAGGAGAGAGGCCAGGGTAACAAGACACACACATAAGAAAATACAATTCCACATATTTAGGCATCATTTGGGCTATGGGTGAGGAATAAAGACTTAAGTCAAAGGCTAAACAGAAGAGATGGGTTTTGAACGTTGGTTTGAAGGGACGGAGTGGTTCCACAGAGTTATTCTCTGAAAGAGTTCCAGATATGAGAGGCTGCAGGAAAAAACGACTTCCCTACAAGCCCTTTTGGAATGAAATGCCATGTCCCTACTAACTTTGATGAGGTTTGAGAAGCAGCCATCCACAGTGGATTGTAAATGTTCTTCAAACTTGAGGCAGAAGTCCTGAGAAACACTTTCACTACTGCAGGCATAAGTCAATTTGGCCTAAGATCTCTTCCTCTCTAAAAATGGTTCTACCCATTCTAGCTTCTCGGTGCCTTGGGATCAAGCTACATGGAACATCCCACTCTTCCAGTTATACTTTCTCAAACCTTAAGAATATATCTAGAGGTCCTGCCCTGGGTGCGCTTGCCAAATGAAGTGAGGTGGGCAGCCACCAGGGAGAAGAGAGCCTTTTCAGCATTGGTTTTTCCCTGATATGGAAAATTCTTCCCAGGAAGGTTTGCCTGGTGTCATTTCGGGTGTTTTTTCAGTGCCAGGTGAAGACTTTTCTGTTCACCTGGGCCTTTTTATAATTCAGGTTGTCTGGAGCTCTGGGATTTTAAAATCTGTCTTTAACTTGGGGTGTGTGGCAAGTTCTGTTGTGCTTTCGCTGCATCAAAGTAGGTTTCCGTCCCCATCCCCATCCCCTTAATGGTTTTGTTTGTATTTTAGTTGCTTTTTACTTACTTATTGCAAGCTACCCATAAAATTTCATGCTATGGAGAGGCATACAAATGTCACAAATAAATAGTGTGCTTCTGTTCTTAATAGACAAGGCTAATGCAGAAGCTCCTGCCCATCCTTCCAGTATCTAACACAGCGTATAGCCTCATATCCCAAACAATTACTTTTCCATGGTTCCTTTATACTCCCCCCTCAAGGTTGCATGATGCATCATATTTGCATAATATCCAAACTGTCAAAAGACTGAGGGTTACTACAGAAGAACTGGGAGCAGGAGGAATGCTGACGCAATATATAACCTGCAACTCTCAAGTAAATGGTTGCATTACATCTGCTCTAGACCACTGTTTCCCAACCTTGGGCCTCCAGCTGTTTTTGAACTACAATTCCCATCATCCCTGACCACTGGTCTTGCTAGCTAGGGATGATGGGAGTTGTAGTCCAAAAACAGCTGGAGGCCCAAGGTTGGGAAACACTGCTCTAGACCCTAGAAGTTTTATACTGACACCTATGAATATGAAAAATCTAGACCTCCTTGGGCCAGGCTGAGCCTTATTAAATCTCCAGAACTGGCTTCCAGAAAAACAAGGGTGGAACTCACAAGTCTGAAATATTTTTCCATCTACGAAAGTATACTTAACACGCCCAGAATTTGTGGAGTTTAAGCTCAAAAGTTTATACACTCTCAAAGGCAGCAAACTGGCTTTTAAATCAACTGAAAACTACCCTTTGTGTTAGACCCAAAAAACTTGTTTGAGGAGCTACCCCCATTTCTTCTATATGTTGTGCAGCAAGATACACAAATCCTTAAAAAAACACCTTAATGGACGAAAATATAAAACCTAAGGAATAAAAGTGAGCAACTGTGGATTGTGAAGTCTAAAAAAGTATTCAAGAATGCCACATTCACCTTGATAAAACAAGCCTCAATGAAACATTTTAAAGCATCATAACCTAGTGATTTATACAGCAAACTCACTTAATTCCTACTAGAAACTGAATAAAGCACAACTATTACTACAATTGTAAAATATATCCCTAAACATGGACTGTGCTGTCTACCTTCATTTTCTTAAAGCAATCTCAAGAGAAGAGTTTACGTTGGACTTATACGGAAGAGATCATGGTGATTAAGAAAACCACACAAGGCACCTAGACTCCCAAGCTCCTGAGTAGTAGCTTGAAATTCAGTATTCCCTCAGTTATGTACATAGTCTGCCCCTCAATTTTTTGAATTTTTGCTAGCCTTCACTGGGACCATCAGATATCCCTTAAATTTCTATGTCATTCAAGGAGCCATTGACAACATGAAGCTGCTCCCCAGTATCACAGAATGCGGCATATAGTGTAAATGGTTTGTCTGTGAATCACCTCTTCATTTAGCCAAAAATTCAAATCCAAAATCTCTGGAAGAAATTCAAAGTGCACAAGAAAGCTCTTTTTAAAAAAATCAGTTCTGTAAATAAGTAAGGAGAAGTACACCAACTGCCCAAAATGCTGATGAGCCTCCTATGCAAGGGGTTGGATCCAATAACCCTTCCAACTCTACAATTCTATGTGATGTGGAATACACAAAACATGTTTTCAAATATTTTGCTTGGTGGGGACACAGAAGAGGGCTTTCTCAGTGACTGCACCCAGATTCTAGAACTCCCTAGAAACATCAATAATAATAATAATACATTTTATTTATACCCCGCCCTCCCCAGCCGAGACGGGGCTTAGGGCGACTAACACCAAATATATAATACATTAAAAACACAAAATCATATTTAATATAATATTTGAGGAAGCAAAACTAGAGAATGAGATGGAAAGCCATTTCTCAGTAAAAAAAAAAAAATGCTAATAGTTTCAACTGGTCCTTTCAGTCTATCTGAAATATTGTTTGTTTACACTCTGTCATCACCTCATAAAGTTAAAGACTACCATTTAGCCTGTAAGCAAGAACCTAATATTTCCTGTTTGGCCACATTACTTTATATACTAATTCCCATGTGGTAGTTGCCTGCATTATTCATGGCATGACTCTCATCAAATGTAGAACCTAACCTTGCCTTCTTCAGCCCCCACCTCATGAATCATGTGCATCTTCTTTATTGACCAAGTCATCTAGCATCACTGCATATGAGGATGCTCACGGAAATAAAATAAGTACAGTGGTACCTCGGTTTAAGAACAGTCCAGCTTAAGAACAATTTGGTTTACAAACTCTGCAAAACTGGAAATAGTGTCTTGGCTTGAGAACTTTACCTCAGTCTAAGAACGGAATCTGAATGGTAGAAGGGCACCGGCAGCGGGAGGCCTCATTAGAGAAAGCGTGCCTCGGTTTAAGAATGGTTTTGGTTTAAGAACAGACTTCCAGAACGGATTAAGTTTTAACTTCATAAATCGAGGTACCACTGTATCTGGATTGGGAAATATTCAGTTCTCTTATTCCTCCTGTATCTCTAAGAATTGGGCATGGAAAGGGAACTGTATTCCAACTGAGCAGTGCCAATCTTCACAGGTGTGTAATGTTGTTTTGGAGAAAATGAACTTCCATCTTGCGCAATAAATTGTTGCACTGTGTCATCAAAAAGTTTCCATCAACAGGCACTACTTTGTTAAAACTGTCAAATTCTGCAACATAGCTAGAAGGACAAGCCTTCCATCCAGATTTTTCAATGTAGAGAGAAGAAGGAACACCTAAAAAACCTTATCAGAAGGCTACCCCACACCCAAACTGATTGAGTCTTGCCCATAGTGCACTGCAAAGCCTTGAACACGTGTTGCAGTCAAGATAGGGAGGTTACAGCAGATGTCATCATTCTGATATAGCTCTATCCAAACCACAAAGAACAATCTTAGAAAAGCAGAGCATGTGGTGTCCAGGATGCTGCCAGTGAACTGTCGTATACAGATAAGGAATATTCCGCCCTTGCTAGCTGTTTGGTCTGGAAGGAGGACATGTGTAATGCTGCCCATATAAGAACAAAGGAGCACAATGCCTATGATGAGATTGATATTATTTTGGGATCAGTGCAGTGCAACTTTGAGTAAGCAGCACAGCACTCCCTCCAACTTGTTCATGGCTAGAGGCTAAGAACTTGCAGCTCTCCAGATGTTGAACTCCAACTCCCATCAGTCCCAGCCAGCATGGCAAATGGTATGTAAGGGGGTTAATCAAGGAATAAAGAGAAGGGAAATAACTTCCTGCGCTGAAATACCCAACATTTTCCTCAACCTGATGCCCTACTGATGTTCCTATCAGAGACAGCCAACAAAAAAATAATGGTCTGGTATGATAGGAGTTAGATAGAATAGAAGGGGAAGAAATGGAGGCAGTGAGATTTTACTTTCTTGGGCTCCATGATCACTGCAGATGGTGACAGCAGCCACAAAATTAAAAGATGCCTGCTTCTTGGGAGAAAAGCAATGACAAACCTAGACAGCATCTTAAAAAGCAGAGACATCACCTTACCAACAAAGGTACGTATAGTAAAAGCTATGGTTTTCCCAGTAGTGATGTATGGAAGTGAGAGCTGGACCATAAAGAAGGCTGATCACCGAAGAATTGATGCTTTTGAATTATGGTGCTGGAGGAGACTCTTGAGAGTCCCATGGACTGCAAGAAGATCAAACCTATCCATTCTTAAGGAAATCAGCCCTGAGTGCTCACTGGAAGGACAGATCCTGAAGCTGAGGCTCCACCTCATGAGAAGAGAAGACTCCCTGGAAAAGACCCTGATGTTGGGAAAGACTGAGGGCACAAGGAGAAGGGGATGACAGGGGACGAGATGGTTGGACAGCGTTCTGGAAGGTACGAACATGAGTTTGACTAAACTGCGGGAGGCAGTGGAAGACAGAAGTGCCTGGCGTGCTCTGGTCCATGGGGTCACGAAGAGTCGGACACGACTAAACGACTAAACAACAACAACTGTGAATGAAGAGAGAACATCATGGGGCAATGCAATAAAAATCCTACTTGCAGCAAGACTTGTTCCCCCCCCCCCCCAATTTGACTAACATTTCCTCCATCATTCATTGTTTTAGAAGACA